ATTAGGACTTTGTGAACTTTTACTATGCAAATTTTCATAATATCTTGGGGTCTAGAACTGAATTTCCAACCCACCCCCAAATTGACATAATTTGATTTAGAATAATTTTGGGGGTGTTGATTTAAATTCTATTGTCATTAATCATTAAATAAAATGACAAATTTTAAAAATGTTCTTAAAATTAGGTGCCTGGGCCTGAATTTCCATATCTGGGCATAAAAGTGATATTTGGGGTTAAATCTTCAATGTGATTTGGGTTTCTTGGATTACAGAAAATCTATGAATTTACCAATCATCAATCTGATAGAAAGTTAATAAATTAATGACGTTTCATAAAACTTGTAGGACAACAAACAATAAAACAATGCAAAAAAAACTTACTGATGTAATGAATATGCATACACCTGGGTTCCCCCTCACAGTGATATGATTGGCTGGTGTCAGCCATAAATACAGACTGATGTGGAGGTACATGACTATGTCTATTGCCTACCACTACGACGAGGATCAGTCCATTACAGTTATCTGCTAGATTGTTCTACTCGTTTACAGTAGTCCAAAAACCACTTTGCTACTTCGAACAAATATACCCCTTTCCGGGATACATCACTTACTAATTGGTCAGAAATTGATATAGTAACTCAATTCCACAAGAAAATAAACAAATTGAAAGTCCAAACTCGAAGATCCGGGGGCAGAAGGAAATGTCGAAATCACGAATCGCTGGTCCAATGTCAAAAATCAAAAATCCACGTAAATGGTCAGAAATACAAGACGGAAGCCGACGGACGAGGTTGAAAAATAAAAGATGTTTCAATTCGAGAACAACAGAATGTTTGTTTTCAGCGTTTTTTTGGTGGGGGGTCTTTTTTTGTTGTTTTTTTTTAAAGGTTAAAAAGCATGCATTTTTCGGAGAGTGGTTGCATTGTACGTTAGAAGTATGGAGTTGAAGTAGACTTTAGAAGGGACCTGGAATCTAAATCCTAAACAGGAAACAAACGCTATATATCTATTTCTGTTAAAAAAAAAACAAAAACAAAGAGGAATATGAACTCTACGTTAGAATTATCGAGCTGAAGCACACTTTGGAAGGAACCGGGAATCCAATCGTAACAAGTAAACAAGGGATAAACATCTACTCCTGTTAAAAAAAAACCGTCGAGGAATGTGAACCCTTTTTTGGAAACAAAAGTAGAGTTTTAGCCCTTGTTTCCTCTCAAGATATATTTTATTTGTATGCAATACTAGCACGAAGAAAACCCAATCAAAGTTTGACTATACATTGGGGGGGTGTAATTTTAATTTCATTAGAAATTATTGTAGAACATTTGCCCCTCCCATTTTATAAGCAAAAGCACGCAAATGCATGCTGGGATTTTTTCTCAGCCAATAAAATAGGCCGGTTTGCAGTTTCACATGATTCAGTCCAGATCTACCGTTTCAGGTGGTTCAGGCTGACTTGTCGAACTCTCTGCCTTCGGGTCAGAGAGGAATCCAGACGAGGCTATGTTGAAGGTCACAGTTACGTCTGGAAAGGTAGACAAACCTGACCCCGTGTATGCGGGGTCCACGTGGAATTTTTGTCCAAACCCACATAAAATAACAGCCTTATGCTATATCATCCCTTGTGGATATATGGACTATATCCTACTCTCTATGTTCGGTTCGAGAGGAACCCATATGTTATGCCGAAGGGCAAAGTCTCGTCTGGGGAGGTAGACAAACCCGACCCCATGTATACGGTGTCTACATGGATTTTTCCCCTAGCCTACTGGCTCGGATATGCCCTACATAAAATAACGACCTTATGCTATATCCTTCCTTGTGGATATCTGGACTATATCCTACCTCGGTCCAGATAATCCGCTTCAGGCGATTCAGGCTGATTTGTGGAACTCTCTGCCTACTGTTAGAGATGAACCCAGATGAGTTTATGCTGAAGTGCACACTTACGTCTGGTGATGTAGACAAGGAATCGACCAACAAAAATCGGCTTTGTGCCGCATCTGGTCTTGTGAGGAGGTAAAATTAAATAACCTCTGCTTTGTCCGCACTTGCTTTTGCGTGTCAGTGTCATTTGTTACTTTGTGAAATTTTTGCCTTGCATATATTGTTTGCTTGCTTGTTTGATATTATTTAATCTTTGCCTTTTTCCTTTTTCTTTTTATTGCAAACTTTTTTTTTTTAATTCTGATTGCAGGACCCTTCTGTTCCTTATTTTTCATTTGAACAAGGCTACTCACTAAACAGAGGGCATTAGGGTTGTGTTTACGTAAACAAAGAAGCAGCAACCCCAAAAATGTACTAAGGGATTTCTACTAGGCCTCACGTTCACCTCAGACCTCAAAATACCAGACTCCTCCTACCATGCTCTTACTTTACAAGAGTCAGATCGGACCAAAAATAAAGAATTGTCGTCATATCTGGGCTGGAGGTACCCAATCCTCACTTTGCAGCCGTAGCAGATCTCCAAAACGTCTCCACGGCCACGTGGGCGATGAATTATCTTCCACCCTACAACCCCTTTTCCCACAGACGAAAAGTCGCAAGCCTTACTGTATTCCGAGGAGAAACATTAATTAGCTCCACTAGTTAAGATCTTCACAGCTAAGACCAACCCGGTTACGAACATTACCACGAGCCATACTCATTCTTTTCATATTCTATTAGTAATAAAGAAGTTAAGTTCAAAGATTTTCGTCCCACGAATTGCTAACTTTTGGAATAGCCTCCCGAGAGGACGTTTCTATCCTACACATGATCATATTTTTCAGTTACCCCCTACTATTGCGTTCATAATAAAATAGCCTCATTTAATAGGCCTCTACATTGAGTGGCTCTTGCGCCTCTACTGGGTGACTAATTATAAATTGACCCTAGAGATGTGGTTCTAAACCGGAGTTCGTATGCACCTACGGTGTCTATGGAACATTACTGTAGGTTCAAACAAAGAAATAGCAGATTTGAGGGTGAGGGGGCGTAAACGATAATATTTTTTGTGGCCCATAGAGCAATTTCCTTTCCGAGCTGTTGTTACAGCTGAGAATTGTGATTTCTACAATAATCTAAGATATATTAAAATATTAAGAATAGAAAGACAACTCTAAAACTAACAGAAAACAAGATCAAGCGATGTAAGTTAAGGTCTTTTTTACTTTACGGATAATTTGAGTGTAAATGTTCAAACTTATAAGGATATATAAACGAAGGATTTTTATATATATATATATATATATATATATATATATATATATATATAAAGAAACTTATATAATGTTAATTATAATTTATTATATAAATAAAATGTAATATAGTAATAATAAATAATAATGTTAATTTTAAATATTGATAAAATAAAAAAATAAAATATTAATATAAATTAATTAATAAATAATAATGTTAATTTTAAATATTGATAAAATAAAATAAAATATTAATATAAATTAATTAATAAATAATAATGTTAATTTTAATAATGATAAATAAAATAAAATATTAATATAAATTAATAAATAATAATGTTAATTTTAAATATTGATAAATAAAATAAAATAAAATATTAATAAATAAATTAATTAATAAAAAAATAATAATTAATTTTAAAATAATTGATTTTAAAATAAAATAAAATAAATTAATATAAATTAATAAATTAATTAATAAATAAAAATAAAATATTAATAAATTTTAATAATGTTAATTTTAATATTGATAAAATAAAATAAAATATTAATATAAATTAATTAATACAGTAATAAACTCGACATTATAAAAAGAGGTGATCTTCGACTATCAATGGCATCGATAGAGCCGAATATAAAAACAGACTCGCAGACCAGCACCAACCCCAGTGATCTCACTGAATAAATATGGACTTTTTTAAAAGTTATTTCCATAGAATTTACTTGTTAAATAACAAGTTTATTTTCATCAAATTAGTTTTACTTCAAAATAAAGCATATACACCCTTGTGCAAATTAATTGAAACAAAAAGAATAATTCTGTTATTATTTACCTTTTTTCGTATTTTTCCAATGCAACATGACCCAGTGCATATTTTAGTACTTCGTATGTCCATTTCACGAAGTCGCTGCTTGCAAATTGACCACAGATTCTCGATTGGATTCAAATCAGGAGAGTTTCCGAGTCAGTATATAGTATTTTGATTTGCCCACTAGTAAGGCTTGCTAGTGTGTTCGTGCAGCGTTGCAATTTTCCTACGCTTCCTTGGAGTAACGTCCATCACAGACAATGGCCGTAGGACAACTAATCGACAGTCAAGACAATAGTGTCTGGGCGGGATAAAAATCTGATTCAATTACGTATGACGCAATATTTTCCAAGGCCAAACAAATTTCATCATATACCTCAAAAATAGATTCCTGCTACTGCACACCACTGCAAATGACCTAATCTGAGGAAAAATAAAAACTGATTACACCCTGTCACTACAGTGGGTTTAAAATTGACCGTATGGCGAAAGAAAGGAAACTGAAGTGGTTGTTTTGATTAATTTGAACAAGGGTGTACATGAGCTATTTCTATAATTTAATTCCTAAACTTATCTATTAATAAAAAATAAAATAAGCATTTTTTTTCATCTAATAGTTATTGGTGTCAACAAAAAAAATTAAGAGTAAATGTTGTGCATAGGCCAAAAAAATGGTTGTAAACCATTGGCTTAGAGCTACAAATGATAAGAAGTAGTGGAGAGACATGTTCACCCATCTCCTTATTCCTAGAGGAAGGATATATAGCAACAAACAAACAGAGCGGGCCCAGCAACTGACAAGATGGAATGTAAACGCGCGAATTTTTAAAATGTCCTCTCCGTACCCAGGGTTCAATCTGATGGCGTCTCAGAAACCTAAGTACCAAAGGAACTGGCAGTTTCTAAGCCCCTTCGTCTATGTGTGTGCTGGGCTCAATTTTAATTATGACCTTGTGTCAAACTTATCTAGATATTGGTAGATGAACAGCTTTTCTTTTATGTTCTCGTAATGCATTGTCGAGACTACAGAGAGTGCTTGTGTCAAATGAAGCGCAGAGAACTGCCTCTCGGGCACGAGCAGGACGTGCCATTTCTCGAGTTAACGGAGAAAACACGTGAGATTTTCAGGAGAAAAGTTATAATGAAGACCAAAGTGAATAATGAATATTTTCAAAGAATAAGCGATTATTTCATGTTCTTTTTTTTTCTTTTTTTCTTTTACTTTTTTCATTTTTCTTTTTTTTTTCTTTAACATTTTTTTTTCTTCTTCTATTTTTTTTTTTTTTTTTTTGGCTTCGTTTCTTCTTTCTTTCTTTGTTCCTCGATTTATTTTTTCTTCTTCGCTGCTTTTCGCAGTTTTGATAATGTTTCGTCTTTCTTTCTTCGTCACTTGTTAATATTCGCCTTATTTTATTTTCTCTTTCTATTTTCTTCATTTTAGTTATTTTAATTTTTTTTATTCTTTGTTGTTTTTTCTTTCTTTCTTTCTGAGTTATTTTCATTCTCCCGCTTTTTTCTTTTACATTTTCCTTCCTTCTGAGTATATTTCATTCTCCTGTTTTTCGTTCTCCTGTTTATTTTTCGTTTTCATTTCCCTTCCTTCCGAGTTTCTTTTTCCTTCCTCTTAGGTTTTTCATTCACCTGTTTTTTTGTTTTTTTTTTTCATTTTCATTCCGTCAGAGTTTTTCATTCGCCTGTTTATTTTTCGTTTTGATTTCCCTTTCTTCCGAGTTTATTTCCTTCCTTATAAGTTTTTCATTCGCCTGATTCTTCATTTTTTTCATTTTCCTTTCCGTCTGAGTTTTCATTCTCCCGCTTATTTTTCGTTTTCATTTCCCTTCCTTCCTAGTTTATTTCCTTCCTTATAAGTTTTTCATTCGCCTGATTCTTCATTTTTTTCATTTTCCTTCCGTCTGAGTTTTTCATTCTCCCGCTTATTTTTCGTTTTGATTTCCCTTTCTTCCCAGTTTTTCCTTCCTTCTAAGTTTTTCATTGCCTCTTTTTTCTTTTTTTCTTTCATTTTCTTTCCGTCTGAATTTTTCATTCTCTCCTTTATTTTTCGTTTTCATTTCCCTTCCTTTCGATTTTTTTCCTTCCTTATAAGTTTTTCATTCGCCTGATTCTTCTTTTTTTCATTTGCCTTCCGTCTGAGTTTTTCATTCTCCCATTTATTTTTCGATTTCATTTCCTTTCCTTCCGAGTTTCTTTTTCCTTCCATTTAGGTTTTTTACTTCGCCTGTTTTTTACTTCTATTTTTTTTTTCATTTTCTTTCCGTCTGAGTTTTTCATTCTCCCGCTTATTTTTCGTTTTCATTTTCCTTTTTTCCGAGTTTCTTTCCTTCCTTATAAGTTTTTCATTCGCCTGATTCTTCTTTTTTTTCATTTTCCTTCCGTCTGAGTTTTTCATTCTCCCGCTTATTTTTCGTTTTGATTTCCCTTTCTTCCCAGTTTTTCCTTCCTTCTAAGTTTTTCATTGCCTCTTTTTTCTTTAGGTTTTTACTTCGCCTGATTTTTACTTCTATTTTTTTTCATTTTCCCTCCGTCTGAATTTTTCATTCTCCTGTTTGTTTTTCGTTTTCATTTCTCTTCCTTCCTAGTTTATTTCCTTCCTTATAAGTTTTCATTTGTCTCTTTTTTCTTTTTTTTTTCATTTTCTTTCCGTCTGAATTTTTCTTTCTCCTGTTTATTTTTCGTTTTCATTTCCCTTCCTTCCTAGTTTTTTTTTTTATTCTCCTGTTTTTATTTTTATCATTTTCATTCTTCCTGTTTTTTTGTCATTTCACGCTTTTCTTTTTTCATTTTAATTCTTTCTGAGTTTCTGTTTTTTTTTTGTTTGTTTTTTTTTGTTTTGTTTTCATTCTTCATGTTTTATCATTTCCCACTTTTCTTTTTTCATTTTCCTTCTCTCTGGGTCTTTCATTCTCCTGATTTTCTTTTTTTACTTTCCTTCCTTTTGAGTTTTTTCATTCTCCAGTTCTCCTTTTCCTTTTCCTTTCTTCTGAATTTTTTCATTTTTCTGTTTTCTTTTTTGTTTTTCTCCCTTCTGAGTTTTTCATTCACCTAATTTTCTTTTTTGTTTTCCTTCCTTTTGAGGTTTTCATTCTCCAGTTCTCCTTTACCTTTTCTTTTTTTTTTCCTTCTGAATTTTTCATTCTCCTGTTTTTCATTTTTCTTCTTAGACTGCATTTTATTTCTTGTTTTTTTTTTTTTTTCGTTTTTGTTTTTTTTTTTTTTTTTTGTTTTTTTCTGTTTATATAGATCCAAAATATAAAAACTAATCGGGTATCAGGAACTCGGTGGAACAGTTGGTATGATATTTTCTTGACAACCTAATTGTCAGGGTTTCAATTCTCGGTAACGGATGCACACTGCTGATGAGTCTCAAATAAAAGACTAAACGGCCGTCCAGTGCTTTCTGTATTCTGTTCAGACTCGATGAATTACTTAAATATAATTATCAAATCCTCCTAATAATTACTATCTGTGTATATCTTGCTTGAACCGGCTTCTAATGCTCTAGAGTGAGCGGCTTGGTGAAAGTAGTCGTAGCTCCAGGGGGCACAGTCCTATGGTTATAGAGAATCTCAGTTGAGTTCCACCACGGAATATGTGATCGAGCGGCGCTATATTGAGTCTGATTTGCAATCTCTTCGTAACCGAGGCCCATTTGGAACAGTTGGTATGACGTTTGCTTGACAACCTAACTGTCCGGGTTTCAATTCTTGGTAGTGGATGCGCACTGCTTAGGTGATCATGTATCTTTCGATGCATGACTGACGAGGCAGATTTTTTCCCCCGCAGTAGGTTGCCATTTCTTTCTGTGGTAGACCAGTTGCCATTCAAGGCTATAGAACCCGGTCTGTCCTGCTATTTACCCATAGCTGGAGTGGAGAAGAAGAGAATTCATATCTTTCCCAAGGGTATTTACATTATACATACTCTATTCTCTCAGTAATGCTTGCCTTCATTCCTGACCACTGACAATCCCTCTCGTCCTCATTTTCAATACGTTCCTATAGTAAAATCATTAGTTATCAGTCGGTCAGTTATATGCAATGCGTGATACACGCTTAGGCGATCATGTATCTTTCAATACATGACTAACGAGGCAGATTTTTTCTCCGAAGCAGGTTGCCATTTCTTTCTGCGGTAGATCAGTTGCCATCCAAGCCTATAGAACCCGGATTTGTCCGGCTATTTACCCATAGCTGGACGGATAAGAAAATGATTCATACCTGTCCCAGGGGTATTATTAGCACGTAAGTGTAATGGATTCGACTGGAATTCGAACTCAGCTCTCCGATTCCTCAGTCCAAGCTGATATCCATTACTCTTATTATTTCTTGTAATTATGGGATGATAAATCTTTCTCTCTCTTTCTCTTTCTCTCTCTCTCTCTCTCTCTCTATATATATATATATATATATATATATATATATATATAGATAGATAGATAGTTTCATTAAATAATATAGACAAGTTTTGTCTATTTATTTTAAGTAAGTTCCTTTCATATCGTCTGATAACCTAAATAAAATTATCATTGAAAGACGAAAGGAAATCACCATATTGATATATGTTTAAATCCAATATAAGCTTTCTGCTTACATAAGCCATTATCAGAGATGACAATTACATTTCAATATATTAACCAATACACGGACGAAACAATAATGATAGTCTGTTTTTGTTGCATGAAAAATTTCAAAGCAACGACTAACTCGTGTATACGAGACGCGGAAGCAAAAATCGCGTCGCAGCCTGTGACGTCACACATGGCTACGCGAAAGTGAAAACGAGAAGTATTAAGTATGGGAAGTCGTTGGTATAAACCAATGGCTTCTGTTATCAATTATAGGCATGTAAGAATATTTATGGAGATTTCGTAGTTTATTTTGTTCAAAATATATATATATATATATATATATATATATATATATATATATATATATATATATACATTTATTAAATTCAAAACACCGAACCTTAACCTAAAATATAACAACAAAACCATAAAGAACGAACATTATTTACGAGTTCAAGTGTCCCTTAATGAAACCGAACACTTAATTAATTACATCGGTCACACTACTACACGCCTATCTAGGCGGCTTACGTTACACTTATCCGACGAAAGGTCCATCAAAGACTAAAAATAATGGAAACCTTAATAATAAAAAAAGAAAAGCAACACTCAATGATATTATCTACGAACACGGCCAAAATGGGCTTAATGTGTTCGGTAAATAAAACATTCATACAACTCTGGATACCTACGTAACACAAACCATACATTCAGTTAAAATTCAAAAATAAAATCATCTTTGATAATAGCTAAAAGTATAACAGTAAGCGCTCGGTCACGCAGAACCTTTGGACAGTTTCTACACACTCTGCGTCCAGAAAAGGAAACCTTTTTTCTAACACAAAAAATTGAATTAAAAGCTTAATCGCAGTACCTTTTCTCTCGTCTTTAATGGAATATGTAAACATGTATAAATAAGGGATTTCTGCCTAAATAAACAATTACACACACACACACACACACACACACACACACACACACACACACATACATATATATATATATATATATATATATATATATATATATATATATAAAATTAAAAAGAAGAGAGAAACCGCAAACCGCATGAAAGAGATTTGGGTCACTAACACAAAAGAGAATGTCTTATATCGAAAATATTTCACATCGAGCAACATAAGAAAAATTAATTCCTTTTAATAATATGTGAAAATATCCACTTTTTGACTGATGAAGGTCGCGATACCGGAAACTCGTGTAGCAAAACAATGGAAAATAAAGCATAATATTTTTTTAATTCCTGTTATACCGGAACATGCCTATTCTATTGTTAATAGAATCTCCCACAGATAGTAAGTAGTAGTAGTAGCAGTCGCCAGGGCTCAGAGTGAGTTGGTGAGTCAGTCGATGTCGGACATTAAAGTATCAACCACTACAACTAGATTACTGCGTCATTAACTAGTATTTCAAGTTCCTAACGTTTTGTACGTCGAACCTTTTTTAGGACCGACTTAGTGAAATAAAAGCCTCCACTGTGAAACTACTCTACAACAATTCCACATTACAACCAAAAACGTTTGCGGTTTCTCTTTTCTTTTCATTAAACAGGGGGAGGAAAAGCGTGCAATAAATGAAGCAAGAGAAAGAAAGAAAAGAGTACTGAACTGTTATGTAATATCAGTCCTCCTATATGACAGTGATTGCTGGACAAACTCCAGACAGGTGAAGAAGAGACTTGAAACAAAGAAAACAAAAGAAAAGAGTACTGAACTGTTATGTAAGATCAGTCCTCCTATATGGCAGTGAATGCTGGACAATCTCCTCACAGATGAAGAGACTTGAAGCAAAGAAAGAAAAAAAAAGAGTACTGAACTGTTATGTAAGATCAGTCCTCCTATATGGCAGTGAATGCTGGACAATCTCCTCACAGATGAAGAAGAGACTTGAAGCAATAGAAACAAAGAAAAGAGTACTGAATTGTTATGTAATATCAGTGCTCCTATATGGCAGTGAATGATGGACAATCTCCTCACAGATGAAGAAGAGACTTGAAGCAAGAGAAACAAAGAAAAGAGTACTGAACTGTTATGTAATATTAGTCCTCCTATATGGCAGTGAATGATGGACAATCTCCTCACAGATGAAGAAAAGACTTGAAGCAAGAGAAACAAAGAAAAGAGTACTGAACTGTTATGTAATATCAGTCCTCCTATATGGCAGTGAATGCTGGACAATCTCCTCAAAAATGAAGAAGAGACTTGAAGCAAGAGAAACAAAGAAAAGAGTACTGAACTGTTATGTAATATCAGTCCTCCTATATGGCAGTGAATGCTGGGCAATCTCCCCACAGATGAAGAAGAGACTTGAAGCAAGAGAAACAAAGAAAAGAGTACTGAATTAAGAATTAATAAGGCGGTATGCTTACAAAGGACGTACGTCCGTTCTATTGACCTATCTTCTTTTATGTATCGTGTCCCTTCAAGACGTAGGCGATAATGGCTCTCCACTTCCTCCTATCCCTTGTAGCTCTCAATAACTTTTGTCCCTTTGCTACTTACCCGAGGCCCTGTTCTGTTATCCATTTGATTAAGCCCACCAGGTATGTCATGAATTGCTTTCCCTTGTCTCTCTTTCTCTCTATCCGCCCTGAGGGTATCAGATTCCCCAAGCCTTTCTTTCTCAATACGTTCCCAGAAAATTTACCTATCTCTTCCTGCTGTTAACTATAAGCTTCCTCCTTCTGGGAATCCTCTCCAAAACCTCATCGTTGCTCACACGCACAGTCCATGATATCCTTAACATCCTTCTGTAGAACCACATCTCTGTCGCCTCGAGTCTCTTCTTCATCTTTGACGAAATCGTCCAACATTCGCTGCCTCTTCCTGATATTAAGTATAAGCCTCCACTTTGTTTGCATCCTCTCTAAGACCTCATCATTGCTCGCAATACTCGATCTATGATCTCCTTAGCATCTTTCTGTATAAAGACATCTATGTTACCTCGAGTTTCTTCTTTGAGGAAACCGTCCAACATTAGCTGCCTTAAACAAGGACAGATGTCAGTAGCAGTTCAGTAGTCTTTTCTTTGTTACCAACGAAATCCTGCTGTCTCGTAATACTCTGCCTAGCTTTTGAAATGCGTCTTTGGCCATCCCAATATGTCTTCGGGCCTCAGCGTCGCACTTACCGTCCTCTGTCAGAACACTTCCCAGATATTTAAATTTCTACACCTGATTGATTTTAGTGTCCCCGACCTGTAAATCGCATTTCAGGCTCATCCTTTTATTGATGACAATGAATTCTGTCTTCTTGTAGTTTATGCTTAGTCCCTTCTTCTAGCTCTCCTTCTCTACATTCGGTAGGAGGTTTTGTAATTTCTTTTGCGACTTCTTTTCCGTGTCTGCTATCATTACTGTGTCATCTGCCTATATTATGTTACCGTCATACCAAGGACGCCTCCTGATCAGAGTCCTTGCTGCTGGATGTAGTTTACCGTCATACCTAGGACACCTCCTGATCAGAGGCCTTGCTGCCAGATGTACTTTACTGTCATACCAAGGACACCTCTAGTCAGAGGCCTTGCTGCCGGATGTAGTTTACCGTCATACCAAGGACATCTCCTGATCAGAGGCCTTGTGCCAGATGTAGTTGACCGTCATAATAAGGACACCTCCTAATCAGAGGCCTTGCTGCCGGATGTAGTTTAACGTCATACCAAGGAAACCACCTGATCAGAGGCCTTGCTGCCGGATGTAGTTAACCGTAATATCAAGGACATCTTCTGATCAGAGGCCTTGCTGCCGGATGTAGTTTACCGTTATACCAAAGACACCTCCTGATCAGAGGCCTTGCTGCCGGATGTAGTTTACCGTTATACCAAAGACACCTCCTGATCAGAGGCCTTGCTGCCGGATGTAGTTTACCGTCATACCATAGACACCTCCTGATCAGAGGCCTTGCTGCC